TTATGATGTATATATATATATATCTATATATATATACAACAATAAAGCTTTTCCTCAGCTGAAGTGTATAGATATTTTTTTTTTAAAGAAAAGTTTACTTTTCCAACTTTTGCCTGACTAATAAATTTTCCTTTACAAGATCACTTATAGTGAAGCCTCAGAATTCCATTAATGCCGCTTCCGCAAGCCAGCACTAGTGCACCGACCATCTGACAAGGTCACACCTCGTTCGAACCTGGGCCGGTGAGAGACGAACCGACGTCTCTCAATCGCATTGTATGTCAGCCGCCGCAAAACCAGGCTTGAAGATGTCATGGTAACTGGCCGCGTTGATACCTGGAGCGATTTTGTTGGTGTTACTTGTAACAAAGTACTCGTTAGCACGCCCTTTGGTTCGGTTAATCAACTCCTCGTAGTCCTTGTTGGCGCCGAAAGAGGTGATTTCGCTTGGCATGGGGCCTGAGAACGGGTACGCGGCGTTTTGTTCACCGAGCTTGCGCTGGATGGCATCACCGGGTTCGGGGGCCTGGAAGTTCACGAGGGGGTCGGTCAGCGTGTCCAACGACATCAAACTCGGCAGTTTTAGCTGGAAATGGTTCAGGAGGTGCGGGTCGTTGCTCGAGACCCCCACCCGTGGCGTGCTCATCCGCGAGGCCGGGGGCGAGCTCACAGAAAGGGGGGGGGGAGGGTGAGTGGTGGAGGAGGGCGGGGGCTGCGGCTGCGAGGTCGCGGGAACGGGGTAGGCAACACTGTGGGGCTGCACGAGGGGGTTGCCCCGGTCGTCCACCCCCATGCAAAGAAACGCCATGGGGGCCTGAAAGCAGGGGGAGTAGGCCGACGTGGAGTAGTCCAGGGCGTTCAGATAGGACCCCGGCGGGGACGACGTCGTCACGGCGGACGGCGGGAGCAGCTGCGGGGACACCGGGGATTGGCCGGAGTAGAGAACATACGGGTTCTGCGGGGTCTGCGTGTACACGTAGTTGGGAAGGCTGTTAGAGGAGGGGATTATACCGGAGCTATAAGGCGGGGCAAGGGACGGAATCACGGAGCTCGAGGACGCAAGGTTGATGGCATCGGCAGAGGGAATACTGCCCAGCGCCGCGGCATTTCGAACCACAGGAGATGGCTTGGTAACGCCGACTTGTGAGACGCCATATTTTTGTCGACGCCCCAGTCGCTGGCGGTTGTCCTCAGCAAGCTTCACCATCAGGGGAATCCCTTCACAGGATTCAAATGGGCAGGCATTGTGGAGAGCCTGCACGGCCTCCTCCGCGGCACCGTCCTCATGAAAAAGAATAAACGCAATGTTGCGCTGTGGCGGCGCGTGACCGCCTTCAGTACTTGGGAGGGCGGCGGTGTCATTGTGAATCGTAACGTTGCTGATTGACCCATGTGGTGAGAAAAGTTGGCGTAACTGTTTTGACGTGACGTCCATCGGAATATTTCGCACAAAAAGTTTTCGAATCTTCTTTCTATCCTCCCCAATAGGAGTACCATCATGTTGTTTCTTTGCCCATTGGATGGAAATCGGTCGGCCATACAAATCAACACCGTCTAATGTCTTCATAGCTTTACATGCTTCTTCGTGTGTTTGGTAACGAACAAATGCGGTGCCAAGGCTCTCACCGGTATGAATATCGCGCATAAGAGCAAAGGAAGTGATGGTACCGAATGGCTCGAAAATGCTTTGAAGAACTCTTTCCGTGATTGACGAGGCAAGTTTTCGAACAAACAGATTTGTTTGGCTTCGAGGACCTTCAGGATCTAGAGCAATAGATTCATAGAGTGGAGGTGAAGATGACCCAAACCGTACCTGTGGTAATGCAGGGTCAACATTTGGAACAATAAAATACATGAGCCTTTTTTGTTAGTGATATTTTTATATTTTATTTTGCCTTTTTTCTGCCTCGAGTGCTTTTGGCGAACAAGAATGGAAAACAAGAAGATCTATTCGTTCTTCCTATTTAGTATTACGAGGATCTACTTTTCTTACAAAGCTAAAGATTCTATCCACTTGCTTTCCGTGATGATGTAGTTTAGATAACAAAAAAAAATGTGTTATATGAATTTTTCTGTTTTAACTGATGATATATATATATAAGTGAATGGTATAGGGTATAGTAAAAGGATTCAACAAATGTATACAAGACTAGCAATTTTCTTACGCGCTTTGATTTATATTGATATATATATATATATAAGCTTGCTCCCTTTACAGGGAATAAAAAAAAGTTAGAGGATACTGAAGGTAAATCTTTCTTTACTTTCTCTTTCTCTTTTATGTTCTTGTCACCAAGTGTTTCAGAAAAATGTAAGCCTAATATAATAACTAAAGAGCAAACAAAAAACAACAAATGATAAAAAAGGGTACCTTTATATTCTTATATGTGGCACAGAGTAGGAAAATCCCTAATATATAATATTTGTAAATACAGGCGACTTTTTTTTCTTAGCCAGCTATGATAAATGCGTCCTATGGATTTTACAGGAAAAAGAAGGAAGTGACGCAATCTTTCTTAAAAGATGCTGGAGTATGTCTACAATGTATACTATATATGCTAAGGTTATAAAAACTAGTGCGTTGATCCTTTCCTTTTTAGGATAGTCCCCTTAGTTGTGTTCTGTGTTTCGATAGATATTAAGAGTAGATATGAAAACAAATAAAAGTTCTGGAAAAGAGAATGACTAATTTAAATATATAAAAGGTAAGAAGTAATTTTAGACAATTTTGTGAATAAAGGTTTGAATTTTTTACGAATATATGTGCTTTCAATGTGGAATCAGTTCGTTTGTCAGTGAATCATAGCAGAACGATCGTAACGAAAGATCAAGAAGCCAATAATAAATAAACAGTGATAGTCAATAAGATTTAAAATCTAAGTGATCTTTTTTTTCTGTAGTCAGAAGTAACAAAGATAAAGAAATAATCAACGCAATGATATCAAAAATTGGTGATTACTTTACAAAATACACCAAACGGCAGGAGTGTATATTGGGTTTAAGAAAAACGAGCGAAGGAAAAGGGAAAAAGCATTCGTGATTTTCATCATCTAAGAGAGTAAGTGGAGGGTTACACTTCTATTTTTCGTTCGTGACTCGCCCCCGCTGTTGATCCGGTGAATGAATCGTATCCTCGCTCAATGTCATGGGACACACGACGCATGTATTTTAAAAATCATTCGAGAACCTTAAGTATCACAATAAAACGAGAACCTTATAAAGGCGGCAGGAGTATTGCTAGAGTTGCCAACGTTAGCTCCAAATTTTCATCTAATATTATGGGATATTCTTTTTTTTTAGAATTTTCCTTTTTTTTTTGAGGAAACTGTGCGATAATACTTTAATTGTTATCTAACTTCGCTTCTTCATGAGCCATGGATGTTGGAGAACTTGTTCAATAGACGGGCGTTCGTCGGGCGACTTGTTCAACATACTCAAAACTAAGTCTTGGGACAATAAAGAAAGCTCCACTGGCGTCTCGTCCTGAGGTATGACTCCTGCCGCGAGACCATTTTGCCCTACAGCATTTTCTTCAACCGTTTCGGAATGAGTACTTGTTGGTTTGGGGTACGATGACGAGCGCCGGCCGCACAAATTAGGGGCCTTGGTACGGATCGCCTCCAATGTCTCCTGTTGCGAGGCGTAATAGAAAGGTGGTTGCCCAGTAATCATCTCCACAATCATTGCGCCGAGAGACCAGACATCCGTCTTCGTCGTGTGCGGTTGTCCAGAGAGCATCTCAGGGGAGAGGTAGTCCAACGTCCCGCAGACCGTAAAGCGTGGCCCGAGCGACGGTACCGACACCGAGCTCCCCTGAGTCCCATCGCGGTGGGGCTCATTTCTTTCCCCTTTTCCCTCCTCCGCTTCCTCCTCTGTGTTTCTATCGACATCTCGACGCATCGTCGGCCACGCCCACCCCTCTTCCCCTCCCTTGTTGCCGTCCTTCTCGGCGCCCGCGCAGACGACTTTCGACCAACCAAAATCCGCGAGCTTGGCGACGCCGCGCTGGTCGAGAAGGACGTTCTCCAACTTCAGGTCCCGATGGGCGATGCCGTTCCGGTGGAGGTGCCCCAGAGCCCGCGCGACGTGCCGGGCGTACCGGGAGGCCTGCGATTCCCCAAGCCGACCCCCCGGGGCCGCGCGCAGGCGCTGTAAAATTGTCCCCTTCGGGCAAAACTCCAGCACGAGATGGATGTAACGGGGCGTGACGTAATAGCTGTACAGACGGAGAACGTTGGGATGTCGCAGCTTGCGGTGAAGGTTAATCTCCCACTGCAGCTGCTGATCCATGCGGGTTTGCCATAGATGAAAACGAGAAATCTCCTTCAGGGCAAAGAGACGTCCAGATGGGAGGTGGGTCGCGCTCGTGACGATGGAATAGCTGCCCTGCCCCAGTAAGGCCTCGCGGCGGAAGTCTTTATCGCTAAGGTCCTCCTGATGGAATACCAACCCAGGCGACGATGGTGATGGGTGTGCCCCATCTACCTTTAGGCAATCACGGTCGTGGGAGACCTGTAGTTCGTCATTCCCTCGCTTTTCGATGTCTTGAAAAGTCTGCTGCGCAGCTCTTGGGGATGCGGCGCTAACCAAAGGTTCGTACTCTTTGGGCGGTGATGATGTGAGAGGATCGGCGACGTCACAGGTAGAGACAGTTAGTGCAGTTGTTATAGGATTAAAAAAAAGTGACTTTGACAAATGCAAGTCAGACAGCTGTTTGGGTGCCAAGGCAGTGAATGTCATTAATCCATGATTATGATCTCTTTCGATGCTGCTCTTTGTTCCACCACCAGCCAGAACTACAGCTACCCTTTCTAACACTTCATCTACTCGAGGTCTTTTTAGATGATGCTCTTCGTTGCCAGGATGGCGGACAGGAAGTGTCGCCAACGAGGAAATGGGTGCATGAGACGATTGCCAAGTAGAAATCTCACCTGTTACCGTGGGCAACTTGTTAATGCCAGTTCTCTGAGATATACCCTGCATAGTAGAGCTCAAGGAAGGCGGTGCTATACGTTTGTGTGTGCATTTCAAGTCATAAGTAGCGTGACTTGATAATTCAAATTGGTTTCTAGTGTAATAAAATGAAGGACAAAATTCTTCTTTGGTATGCATAATACTTGCACAGATTAACACCTAGCTCAATATTTGAAAAATATTAATACAGAAACAAAAAAGGTTAAAGATATACGAAGGTAAATATTAATATATTGATAATCTGCAAAGAAAAGCATTTAACTGAAGTATTAGCTTATTTGTGCGCATATTTGCAGATCAGTTTGTCCTATTTTAACAAACTGTAAAACAGCTGCCATGTTCCCATAAGCTGATAAGGAATTTATGTTAATAAACCAAAGAAGGAAGCAAACACAATGAGTTGGACTGATATTATATTGTGGTGAGAATGTCTTATTTCCCTTTTTTTATGCGTCGAGTCCTTTTCCCACTACTATAGATTAACTTAACCATTCACGAAGATAGAAACACTGTTTTGGATCTATTAATCCTTTCTCCGTCACTGAACAATTAGACAGCTGTGGGCACCCTAGACAGGGGAATCCTACTGCTGGCATGTAAGCCCATCCAGTCGCATCATTTTGATCACTATCCGAGACGTCGCAGCCGACCCCTTTGCCTCCATTGTCATCCTGAATGGACTCAAGACTAAGCCCTGCTGAAGGCCGCGACACACACGCCGGCTCCCATTGGCTTTCTTCACTCATCAATGAATACAGCTCCGAGCTCGCTATCCCGCTACCATCCTGTCTGTACGAGCGTCCCAAAGGACCGGTTTGGTGGTTGCGACTGCTTTCGTCGCGGATCACTCCCTTGTCGGTGTCTTCACGTTTCCGCTTCTCTCGCTTTGAAGGTTGTTTCCGCACACAGGTAAAGTGGCGGATCACGTTATGGCCGGTGGCCAGCCGATAGACCGGGACGGCACCCAAAGTCGTTTGAACATCGTCAAACACGCCGTCAAGAATCAAGGACTGGACCAAAATCTCCACATCACGCGGCGAGATGTTTCTGTCCGTCATCACCAGCTGTCCTGGGGAAGGCTTAGAATTGTAGTGGCGAGACTCAATGAGAGTGACGGGGCTCTCGGGAGCCTCGCCGTTGATCGGGCGACTCTGTCCGACAGTGGTCTCACCCTCAACAAAGCGAAGAATCTCCTCCATCGTCGCGGAATGTTTCTGAAAGACATACGCGACGATACGCCGGCGGAGCTCATCCACAAAGGCGACGTCTAACTCCTCGCCGCAGTAGAGTGTCCCTCCCGTCACGCCCTCAGAGGGTTCGATGTGGGGCATCAGATAAATGCGTTTTGCGCGGTTGGCGAAAGATCGCCGCTCCTGAATATGCTTCTGTGCGAGAAGCGTCTGCAGAGCCTTGAGGACGTCCGTCCGGCTCATTCGAAGCCTGGAGGAGATTTGGGCCTGATCCACCCCGGTGCGGTCGCTCGCGCGGATCACCCCGAGCACGAGGGATACGCTCTCACTGAGGTTGTTCACCAAGGAGAGGTAGGTGCGGGTGTCCGTACCCCCACCAGGCCCCGCCGCGCCGTTTCCTCGGCTTAGGTTCACCTGGCGACTCTCAAGTAATTCGCGAAGTGCGGACGAGACGGTCTTGGGGTCCGTCTGGAGGCTCCGTTGGACCTGCTCCAACAACACCACCTCTTGCCCAGCGGAGGATAGCGTGTGAAGTATCTGCTTCTTCACCTGTTCAATACTAGCATCTGGAGATAGTGACGACATTATTAGGTCACTATTATGGCATAAATTTGTTTGGTGTTTATTGTTGCAGTTAGCTATTTCGATTATTATTATTTTTTAAAAGATTCCTTATAGGGTTACGATTTTTAAGTGCTCATTCCGAGCACTTACACACTGCAAGGCCAAACTGAAAGAATCATGAAAAGTGCTCAAAATCAGTAAATGATAATTAAAGCAGGGGGAGAGAAATCGGTTCGAGACCTTTTAAGCGACATAAACCTGAAGAGAAATTTTGTGAGCATAAAGCCTGTACAAAATTCTCTTTGCACCACTTTATTTTTGCGTTAGTTTGACTTTCATCTTTTTTAGTTTCGTTGATTATCGCTGAACTACGAAATTATCAATATATCTGACCTTTTTATCAATGCATGCTTTAGGTAATAAATGCGTTGCCATACTCCACGTTATTTATTCTCGACAACACACAAAATTCGTCAGAACAAACAAAACATTTATTTGTTCGTACGTACGCACAGAAAAGAAACAGCTAAATAAAATAGCCGTGTGGCATCCTAATGCCCTTTTTCACTAAATTTTGTGTTTAGAAAGAATTATCATCACTGAGGACGCCCGAGGAGAAAGCTAATAGTAGAAGAAGCAGTTGAATTTATACAATTTAGTCGAATTGGAATTCGTGTATGTAAATGCGAACAAGCAATCATGTGAAAACGGTCTACTCTGTATTTCTGTCGATAACATTTTTCTTCACCAGAACTGGACACCTTTTCTAATAATATAAATAAACCAAAAACATTGAAATTTATATTTACAGAGAGTGTGGCCGATCAGTATTCTTTTTTTTTTTTAAGGAGAGTCTCCTTTAAAATAAGCACACTCGTCAAGAATAAAGAAAAAGATGATTCTTAGATTGTGAAGAGTGGGAGATTGATGCAATAGTCAAACTTTTTGACCTTCTGTTATCGCCTCTGTATAATAACCAAGAGAAGCTATATGACTCTTAAAGGGAAAAACGAACGCGCAATCGAGAATA